AAAAAGATGAAAATTTAGATAGAGCTTGATTTGTTATAAAAATCTTCAAAATTTTGATCTTGTTCCATCAAACTTCTCAGGCATACTAATCCTTTTCTTGTCATACTTATAGAAACAAAACTCCCTGGATTTGGTTGTGAGGTCAATTTACTTGCTTCCTTCAATTGCACAACTTCTTGCCGTTGTCGTATTGTAATTGCCTATAGTATGTAATATTAGTTAGGACATATAATATGTTCATAAGTCTTGGTGTATGTTAGAATGGTTAATAGATTGATTTAAGGAGATTGGATATAAAAAACTTTATTTTGAAATTTATCTATTTTGAATATAGTATTTAAAAAAATTATAGAATCTAAATATTTAGTATGAAGCCTTGAGAGGAGATTAGAGCCTAAAAAAGAAAATCTTAACTAGTAGGAGGCTTATTGGGAAGGATGAAAGGAAGGCATGGTTGGATGAAAGCAAAGAATGGGGATCTTCATTCCTATTGGTCGAAGGCCATGTCCAATGGGCTACAAGGAGGCTGTCTGAGGCCCTATTAGGGATTAAGGTTTTTTTTTGAAGTTATTTGAGCTTTGGAAGCTAGAGTCATCAAGTTTAGGTTTTTGAATACGGATTGGGTGAAAATTTTATATGATTTGGAGTTTTTATGAAGGATTTATTGGTGCTCAAAGTTAAGGCATTAATTTTATACCTACTATCACTCTTTGGAGCATAACATACGTTTACGGAGAGCAACAAAGGATCGGTAACTAGGATTACAGATTGCACTTCTTCGACCATACTTTTCATATATTTTTTAATGAATTTGGAATTTAGAAGAAGAATTTATATAGGATTGAAGTCACTGCATCCAAATCAAAGGCAGTAAGTAAGTGATTTTGTTCATAGTAATGGTTGGAGCCATATCTTGAGTTTCTAAAAATATTTTTGGCTCAAATCTTTTGGAGAAGGTAGATAATTGTGTTAAAAAAATATATATATAAACTTTGTGATATTTAAATATTTATTTTGTGAGATATGAAGAAAATTGCACACAGGTGTATAAAAATTAGGGTTTGAAGATATTATTAGGGTTTTGGTCATATCTTAAGATCCGCAATGAATTTGTGGTTAAAATTTATTATAGGAGTTGATAAGAATATATCAGTATGTCATATAAAATTTGAGTAATTTTGGAACATCAAGAGATATAAAGTATTGAAGTTTGGAAAAATTTCTACATAAGGATATATAAGGTTTTAGAAGATTTTATTATATTTTGGATGTTGTTGGTTACTTGAGGCTTATGTATTTGGTGTAATTCCTCCAAAAAGAGAAATTTTATATATAAACTTAGGGATTCTCTTATTTTGAAGTTTGATTGAGCAATTAGTAATAATCAAGAGCCGAGTGCTTTTTGAAGGCAAACTCTTTCTATCATGACACCGCAGACTCAAAACTTCTTCTATAGGTGTAGGCATAGTACCTCCATGCTTCACGTTAGAAATACAAGAGATTTTCACCCTAAGAGTGTTGACAAGTTCATGAAGATCTACAATAGTTACAAATCTATTCTCTTTTTTGCTAGGTGTAGCATCCATATTCTTTCCTTCTATAGGCAACTCAAACAAATCCAAAAACTTAAATTAGAGGAAGGTAATCTGCAACCTCTGATAAAAATTTCCACAAAGAGGGATAATTTATTCTTTTTAAGGAAAGATCAATGTTAAAAAATAATATTTTTTTGTTTAAAAGGTAGATAGTTCACAACTTTCAAAACACAACAATAGAAGTGGGATAATCCACTCACTTCTAAAATAAGATAAAAATAGTATATTAGTACTCTTGTCAAATTGTCAAGAATATAAATCTCAAAGAAAGAGAATCCTTGATACATTCTTATTTCATTGAAGAGAATTAGAAAGCCACTCAAAAGGTAATGTAATAGTAATTAAAATGGCCATTGCCAAAAACAAGAAGACTAGAAAGTCTTGCAACAAGACTAAGGACTAGAACGGCATTGACAAGAGTGAAAAAGACTTCACTCTTGCCTCCATATATACTCTTAATTAGGAAATACATGGCAATGTCCTATTGGACCTCCAAAACATGTTGACTTTGCTAGCCACATGTTTTAACTTACAAGGCAAGTTATCTATGTATACACCACATAATTAGCTTGTTTCACAAGCTATCAGCTTGTATTAACTTATTGGTTAAGTTTTTGATCTAAAACACATCTAAAGTCAAAACCGCGTCCATGAAGCTTTTAGGAAGCTTTATTAAAAGACTCTATGAAATTAATCTATATTTACCTACTTCTACTTAATCATATAAGTAATTATTAAAATAAATTTTAATGTTCGTAATACATAGTTATCAATTGCAACATCTCTTAAGTGATTCAAAGTTGTTTGTCATATATTCTCTTTGGCACACTAGGCTTAGAAAGTTATAGTGCCCTTAATCATACTAATAAATCTTTGATAATTTTAATAATAAAAATCACAATATCTATATATATATATATATATATATATATATATATGTATAATATTAATACTTTACAAAGATTACATTCACTAAATTGTATCCAAATTCAAATAACAATTGTACAATGGAACCAAGGCCACATTGAGAGTGCCTTAAATTTGAGCACTCACAAACCTTATCATGCAAGTTTAGGCAACAACCACCCCAATTCAAACTACATACAATGTAAACTCCATCTATTTTTGCTACAATCTTAAATTTCATTTTATGATAATTGTGATAACCTTTTAGTTTTATAACTTACATAAATATACTTTAATTATTATACATTGAATACTAAAATCAAAGATAACTACAACAAAAGAATATTTAAAATATCTTTTAAAAATATAAAATATTCCTTAGTAATTGAAACTTAGTCTTTTCTTTACTTGAAAGACCAAGTAACTCTTAATCAAAATATTTGTTAGCAGGAAAGCAATCGAGCATCTTTTCTTTTCTATGGCAACATAAGAAAATTTCACAACATGCAGGTAATAATTACAATTCTTAAAAACAAATTCAATAAATTTGGAAAGACTTTCTTCTTTTTAAGGATGGAAATCAATAAATATATATATATATATATATATATATATATATTCATACATACATACATCATTTGCAGAGAATTATGGTTTATTCTAAAACTGATCCGGTTAATATTAAACGTTCATAAACGACTCGTTTCTTTTCCGTCGGGAACTTTCTGTCCTTTGGAAGAGATCCGTCGGACGAATCCGTTTTCCGTCCCCCTGATCGGACGAACGAATCCGACAGGTGCTCCTTCCGTCCGGATCACCAACGCCGCTGTCAGGACATCGATTTCACCGCAATCCAAAACGCTGCCAACCATCGCGTCCACATGCAACACTCGCATGCTTCCCAATGGTGGAGCTGTAGGCCTTGTGAGCTCCACGAGATGCGACTACGCTCGCACAGTTTATTCAGTTTTTAGACCAGAAAGAACGATCCTGAATCGTCGGCAAACACAATGGGAGCGTGACGTGAGCGCAAACGCGAGTCAAGCAACTTCAAGCTGGTGGTTCCAGGATCATGCAATCTTAGTACATAGCTCTGTTCCGGGTCATGCAGTTTGTCGTTAGCACTTTTTGGAATTCTCTCCTCAACTCAATCTCGGTTCACGTGTTGAGCCCCGTGTGTCGTCTCGGGTCAGCGGCAGGTACTATCTCGCACGCAGAGACTCGCTTTCTTGCTGACAAACCTTCGTCACACAATTTGGAACTGTTTTGTCGAGACCCAACAGGAAGATATGCTTGTATGAGTTTCGAACTCATGTTTAACTCATTTTCATCGAAAGCTTAATAGTTATTTTATGTGACTTGATTGAGTTGTCTGCGAAGATCTCGTCGCATTTCCTCTTCGATGGGGTCTGATGTGCATGTATTTGAATGTACCGACTTCTCTGCCATCACTGGACCATAATTTGCCGCATTCCATAGAGATGAAAGTGGCGGACATAACCACTGAGTATTCTCATTATCTCTGATGAATGGCGTGGCATCCTGCTCTAATGCATGTTTTCCTCGTCAAGCCTTGGCTATGTTCAACTTGCTTATTTTACTCGTCCACCAAGACCCATGTTCATCTTGCTTGTTTCACTCGTCACCCGTGGCCATGTTCGTCCAACTCGTTTTACTCGTCCAGAGTCGGCCATGCTTTTCTTGCTGCAGAGGCAATTTTCTCCATCGCCACAGTTTATTGAAGGGCAGGACATCGCGTTAACATTAATGGTGGAGGACAATAAATTTTGATCTGGGGTGAGTGTTGTAGCACTGGAACGTGGTCGCCGTTACTGTCGACGTGGCCTCCGCAATCATTGTGGATGGTTTGAGGCTCATAATCTCCTTTGTAAATCTCCATGACCAATTTGCTACCATGAAATATGCACTGCTCAAAATCAGTGCAGATAGATTCGCGGTAGTGGAAAATGCTGAACGTTTTACTTGGAATAATAAGTTACTAGAACAAAATTGGATCAACAATCAAGCCTCTAACCTTAATGATTTTACAAGTATCGTTGTTGTATCAGCCGAATTTTGTCTCCATAATGAAGATAGGTGTGATACGATCTTGATATGCAACAAAAACTTGGTCTAACAAATGCAATAGTCAGATACAAGTACGCCTTGTATCTCGCTAGCTGAAAATCAGAGAGAGGAAATCAAGGAGATTCATAGTATCCAGCAGCCATTTTACACAAGCATCTCAAACAACCCCAAATTCTTATGAGCCACTTGACCAAAACTTATGACGCCAACTAAAAGTTACAGGAAAATGTTTTTTTGCATACCTCATATTTCACTGTGAAAGCATATACTGACAGGATCAACCAAGCTTTTTGTACAGGGAAGAAATTAAATAAATATATGCCTACAGTTGACACAAGCAACACCTGAGTTGCCGAAGAAGTAGACTCATCATACATAGGACAACTCATAAAATCAGGTGATGACTGCATCATACGGTAAGGTGCCAATAGTGAATTATGAACGTATAATAATAAGGATAGGCCAGACCCTTGATAGTACAAATGACTCCCTAAGTTCTCAGAAAAGGGAGTCGTTTTACTTAAGCTATTTCCAACTATCATCGTACTTCCTTTACTTGTGGATCTACGAAGACTGATTTGGTGTGCATTCGGGTCCCAGCAGGTGGGTTACTCCCGGCAGTTCCTGGCCAAATCAATATGGTTCGATTTTCTGCGTTTCCCATTCACGTACAGAATCCTCAATTAAACAAATCTTAGAATCCTCAATAAAGAGAACTTAAACAAATCTTAGAATCCCAATTCCAAAATAAAGAAGGCATAGTCAAGAATTCAGCACATGAAATATTACCTCACCTACGTCACGAACAAGCTCTTTCCGGACTGCACTTCGGATAGTCCACGTGTAGCGAGATTGAGAGCGTAGGAAAGACCCAGTTTGTGTGTGTAAACAATATAAATTCGGTTAGAGATGTGCTCGTGACCGTTGAGATGTAACGCCCATCTAGTCGATCACTGCGGCAATTGATGAATCACGTGTAAGAGAGAAGCCACATGGATTCTAGCCCCACATAAATGTCATTGAGTGACACAATTATGCAACTCAGGTTACGATACGAGCAATGATGCCGTTGAGCTCCGCAGACGCGCGCATTCACACCTCAGTGAGTGAGAGCTGCCCTGAGCTTGAGAACTTATCGGGCTGCGGAGGGGTTTGAGGAGGAAGAAAGAAGCTTGGGAACCGAATTTTCAACAAGCGGGCGTTAGGCTGCATCAGAAGCCGTCGAAAGTTACTCGCGGATACCGCGGATCGGAGTTAGGAACTCGGAAAGCTGTTGTCGCAAAGCGTGAACACTTGCCTCCGCTGCGGCTAACTTTTGTTTCAGCTCTGCAGTATCATCAGGCGCCTCGGAGGCCGCCATTGAGAAGCCATTGTCCCCGCTGAGTCGACCGAATTCCGCAGGCATGCTGAAGCTTCTTGGGTACCAAGGATGCTGCTCGAGCCAAGAGTAATTGGATCCCCTCCACAAGGGTGGGCGAGGCCGGCTAGGCAACTGCTCTCCAGGCTCTCTGTGAGTCGTTCCTTCATTCGGCTTAATGTTTGACGAGGTCGATTGAAGGATATTCCAAATCCAGGAATTGTCCTCTGTATTATCGTAACATTGAGAAGCAGTGACGGCGGCACTTGACGCCAGAAACGCGTGCCTAGCAGCCTGTGAAATTGGTGGCAATTGGGCGGAGGAATCAGGACGAGTGATGAGCGATGCAGAGGATACTGGCAGCAAGATGTCAAACTTGGAAAAATCCACGCATCGTCGACCGTTCGGTGACCTGAACACCATCGTCTCGTGAGTGACATCTCGCCGAATGTCCTTAGGTAAGTACGAGTGGCGCGCTTGCAGCTTGCATGAAGTTGAGGCATCCACGCCCTCCAGTAACACAAGCAATTCACAATCCGCATCCTCCAATTCAGTAATATTCAACCCATACAACGGACTCGTACTCGTGATGGGATGCTTCACCGTGCAAGGCAACCCGAGAAACACCTGATTACCCCCTGTAATCGGCAACGACGTGAAATGAAACACTGTCTCGACGTCAGTACCCCCAAGTGTGTTATTGAACCCAATCAACAACCTCACATTCGCCTCGATAATCTGGTGCTTCCGAATATTGGCGATACGGAACGACAGCACGGGAACCCCATCTTCCTCGTGTATCGTGCAATACCGACTAAAGATTAACGTCTGCGCCCGCCGTGCAGGTTGTGAAAATCGAACATAAAACACACCTAGTAGCGAATACGCCACCAACAAGGTCGCCAGCGACTGGACCACCACCATAATGTTCGTGAGAATACAACTGGGGTCCGGCGTCAAGTCTCCGCCATACCCGATCGTCATGGACGTCTGCACGCTGAACCACAACGCATGGTCGAACGAGGTTACCCCTGGAATGCAGTTGTTGTTACGTGCATCATAGTAATAGGGCACACCGAATCCTACAAACAAGACAGTATAGTTCAACAACAAGATGGCAATGAACCGCGGCGTCGGCATGTTCACCAAAGTATGAAACAAGTCCCCCCAGTACAGGAACGTTTTCGGCAACCCCCTAGTCTCCACATTCAACTGCCCCATGTGATCCACCAACGGCAGCTTCTGCGACTTGCGCTGCTGCTGGCGCAGCAGCGATGTCTTCAACTGCGCCATTCTTCCCATCCTTCCTCCACTATCCTCGATACTCATCACTCACCATCCCCGTCTTCCTGGTCAGAGCCACCACCCAAAATGTTACCTGTTTCCATCTCCACCAAAATTGCTATGATGTTCAAATACATTTATGCACACACATGTGTACTCACATACATACATAAGGAAATAACTTATCACATGCCATCAGTACATGAATTTATATTGATACCTGAACTGTAGTAAGCATACAAAATTTGAATTTCTATACTGAACCCTAAATATTTCAAACAAAGTCTAACTGGCATGAGTTTCATTTTGCAGTTAGTATATTATTTCAAAAAACAAAAAAAAACATAACAAAACAAAAAAACAAAGTAATTTAGCATCTTAAACCAAACATGTATGACATTAACTCCCATTCTTGGACTTTCCAAGCAGTACTGATTGCTATAATTGTTCAATTGCATGCACAAGTAATCAATATTTATATTGCCCATATTGTTGTCTTGATTATTTATGCTTCACTGCTTAATCTTGTCTTTTGAAGAAATAAATTTATGGGCAAAATATCGCCTTAAAACAAAACTAAAAAAATAAATTTCTTCATTACTTAAAAAACACAAAGTATTAATTTGTAACAAAGTCATTGAAAAGTCAATTTTTAAGAAATAAATAAATTTATTAAAGGATACTATATTTTTGTTTATTTATTATTGTTTCACAAGATTACATATTAACATGTAAGTCACAAGCTATATTGTGCATATCTTTTGTTTTTTTTACCTTTTTTGTAAAGGATTCAATTGAAATCTAAATATATCAAAATTTTAAGATTTGGTTTTTTTATTGCTTTCTTTGCTAAACCACAATAAATATTTGAATAGATTATAATTCTTGATAATAATAATAATAATAATAATAATAATAATAAAATTTCACCAAAATTTATCAACAAATTAAGATCTTTGATTTTCCTTGTATTTTCTTTCTACTTGAGTATTAAAGATGCTCACTAAATCTAAATAAAGTTGGGACTTTTAAGGCATATTTCATTGCAAATGAATATTTGTAAATAAACAATTAAACAACTTATACAAACCTATCCTAAACCATAAGAAAGGATACTTTTGTATTGGACCAATTCTAAATCAAAATCACAAAAAATCAAATTCAATCACAATTTCAAGTATAAAATATGCTTTGTCCCAACTTTCAATACAAAGAAACTTTTTTTTTTTCCATAATAAACCTCTACTTTCCAAACAAGATGAGATTTTAATATATAGCTATTGTTTATCCATTAGTATGATCCACAAATCCATTAAATATCTCCATTCAAACAAAGCTTCGAAAATCACGAAATATAAATTATGATCACCATTTTTGACGATAGCAAGACAATACAACATGTTACAACTTGCAATGAGCATGTTTTGTTTGCGTTCATAGGGCGAAGTGGACCCAAATCCGTGGCACCTATTACCAGAACCCTAAAACTATGTTGCATGAAGGGAGGCGAGCGCTTCAATTTTATATTGGAGAGACGATCTTTGCCTTGATCGTACACGACGGAAATCTCACTAGATCTGTAATCTGTGCTTTCGAGACATTGTGCATGAAGAAATCGCCGCCTCTTGCTTCTTTTATGGCGTTGTGATGAGGTTTGAATCCTTCAGAAAACGAGAAGAAATTTAAGTGGAATCGAACAGGATCTTTCGATTTCTATTCTCGGCCGTGGCTTCGAGTTTTGTCTCACCCCATTAACGAGAAGTGCAACAAAATTCGGGTCCACGTTATTTTAAAACTCTCTATCATGAATGCGCGTGTAGGTTTATTGTAAGCGGCATGGAACGGGAACGGTCGCAGAACGAAATGCAGGGTTTGAATGACTTAGTTCTGCGCAGGAACCGAGTGGTGATCCACATCGTTTGAATGAAGCACAAGGCGAATCCGGGATGCTGGTGGTCTGTAATTCAGGGAGTTCCAGAGACCATGCGGCGCAGTTCCGTCGATTAGGGGACGCGATCGCCGCGCATACTTTTGCGTCACGTGTGGAATTATGGTAGGATCGGGAACAAGTGTGTGCATGGACGCTCCAGATCCTTCCTTCTGAAAAAAATAATTCATTTGTAATAGCGAACGATTGCCCGTTTCGGCGGTCCACAGCAACTACAAGCAACACGCGGTATTTTGTCAGTACTTGTGAAACTTGTAATACGGTGTTTCAGCATCATGAGCTCAGCCACGACACTCAATTTCTTAGCAATTCAATCAGAATTTGTTTCCACGATCGTTTATAATTTCCTCACATCAGCGATATCATTAAAATAAAAACATGGAACTTATTCTATATTCCACAATATCATCACGATGTAATTTTACTGTATCTGACCAACATCTCGTGCATTTTCTCGTGCAATTCAGAGCCCGATCCTTCGCTTGCTCGAACTATTGTGCAAATTTATTTCACGAGTCGCTTCCGATAAGATTCGAGCATTGACTGAACACAACCACCACGGACCACTTTGCCAACCTACTCTCCCAAAACCCTAATAAACAAAACCTAAAGAAATAAAGAAATAAAAAACAATAAACACTCAATTTAAACATCTTTGTAGACAATCTCATTTTGAAAAAGTGTTTTATGAGATACATGGAGTTGGGTAAAGGATATCAATTTTAGTGGAAGTGAATGTTGTGATTCAAGGCTTTAAAAATAATAAAATTATTTGGAGTACATGTTGTATAGAGTGTGGATTAGAATCTCTCAAATGCTAGTGTAATGAGGATTATACCAATGTATTTATATATAGGGTATGGTTAATGCCACCACAATTTTGATATTGCCATCACAATCTCTTATCCATGCTATTTTTATTCAAAACATTTTAAACCAATCAAACTTACTTTGTTTGATATCTTTTAAACTATTTGAATAATCTTTTCAATTAGAATAGAAAGAACTAAAGAAATATGTCAAGTAGGTGGTGGAATGTAATAGCAATAACAAAAATTGTGGTGATACCAATAATATATATATATATATATATATAAACATATCTTATATATATGTCTTAGATGTATCTAATTGGTGGATCCACAATGAAGAAGTTTTTCTTAATGATTGCTAAATAACTAAAAAAAATTGGATGCATTTATTAAGATTTGAGAATATTCTGATAAATTTTAGATGCTTTTTGTTTAAGATTCTTTTATAGAAATAATAAGAAAAAAATTCAATAACTTTTTTGTTATTTTTTATTATAAATATAAAAAGAATACTTTTGGTCACAATTTATATCCATATAGAGTTTGATTTAAAACTTGAGGCATCATTTGTAAATAGTTTATAGTTATAGATAATTGATGACAGAAAGAAACTAGAACAATGTATATTAAACATAGATTAAATGTATATGAATAATTAATCAAACACCATTATAAAAACCAACAAATAGTATTATACTAATTGGAAAAATTTGTTAAAAATTAATTATTTATTACTATTAGTGTGTAAAACTCTAATATAGAAATATATTGGAATATAATTGGTGCAATGAATGTCAGTATGCAACCAATTGGATATAAACATGCAACTGAAATTATTTATTAAAACTTAAACATTAAAAGGATTGCTGAGGATATAAAAATAGTTGAGAATGAAGATAATTCAATTGTTAAAATATTTTAAATTTTAATAAGAGATCTCATTAAATATTTTTAGATATTGAATAAGCTGATGTGCAATCATACCAAAAAAAAAGAAGTTAGAAGATTCACGACATTTGTATAGACTGTTAAAAAAAAGAAATATAAAAATGTATATTTCAAATATCAACACATAAAATGATTTTTTATTAAAAAAAATGTTAAGAAATTCTGACAATAACCTGAATCAGTAAAATCAATAAAATAAGCTAATAATCAATTCTACCAAAAAAATCTGATATTTAAAGATTTTATATGTATATATATATATATATATATATATATATGTATGTGTGTGTGTGTGTGTGTGTGTATAAAATAAATTTAACAAATTAATTGAAATAAACTATTGTAAAAATATGATTTGAATTTTGTTAAGGAAAAAAAATGTGTCAGTTTGTTAAAATAACTGATGCACGTACTAATATATAAGTTCAATTAGTGAAGAAAAGGAGTAAAAGCATTTAAAATACTATATAATATGTAATATAGTATTATAAATTTTAAGTAGATGAGTACCAAAGTAATTAGAGAACTTATAATACAATAGGAATACAAAGATGTAATTTGGTTAATAAAAAAGTGGGTCTGATATCTTGAAGGTTGTCTAAAAATTTGACTATAGGATTTAGAAAAAAATTAATTTCTTCTAAAAGTACACTATTTTATTAGTAAAAAATATTGAAAGTTGTTTAATAAAAAGTGTCACTATTTTTAAATATTACATAATATTTAGTATTAGAAAAATTCTCTGATTTTTAAAAATTTATTGTACAAATTTTTTTTAAGTCAAAAATACTAAGAACTCAATTACTTCCAATGAAAATAAGCATAAGATAACTTGAATACACAAAAAAATCTTTAAAATATTTACCATAGTATAACAGTCAATTTTAATAGTTGTCCTGGTAAAAATATAAATAACTTTTATGCCAAATATAATGACACTAGTACAAAATATTTTAAGTATAATAAATATTTTAAGTTTAGTATTTGTTTTACTAATTTTGAAAGTCTAATCAAAATATAACACTATATTTAGCCTTTAATTTAATTAATTTAATTAAATCTTTTTACTAACATGTGTTTGATCTATTTTTAAATATTATTTTATTATAAATTTATTATTTAAAATATCTAATCAGTAACCATTGTAAAATAATAGAAAATATTAATATTCCATTAATTTTAATATATATATATATATATATATCTTTATATTTCTTTTTCTATCAAGAATTATTTAAATTCTATGTATAAATGATTTAATTTTAATTTCAATCCTAAAGAAAATCTAACCAACATTGATCATTTTGCTTAAAAGTGTGTAGCTTTGGAAGGGTGCCTAATTAAAAAAATCTATATTATATAGATATGAATGAAGAATTTTAAAAATATATTTTCCAATAGTTATAATATTAAGTTTATTTTAGTGTATATATATTTGTTTCTACTTTAGATGTTTTTTTGAGTCTTAATTTTATTTAAAATAGCAACTTTTGAAAAATATAAAATTATTGGTTGCATCTTATAATTCAATCAAATAACTTCTATCTTTACAAAGCATTCATATCATTTGAAAGATCTTTAATTATTTGTAATATCAATCCAATCTATTTTACATAAACTTTATATTACAAACTTATTATACCAACTCACTATTAAAGGTCTAATACATTATTATTTTATTCCTTAATGCTTATTATGTAGTGCCAATGTTTAACATATGTTATTTTATTCCAAAATTTTATTCCAAAATTTACTTTTGTAAAATGAATTTTTGTGTTTATAAATAAATACCTAAAGAACTTCATTATATCTTTATAAAGATTACAATATTTTTTATGTTACTTGCTTTAAAATTGAGTACAATAAAAATTGCAACCAACAAAGATTTCTTTAATTTCATCACTTATAATTTGCACAAATCTATATAAAATCATCTCTAATCAAATTTTTGGATGAAAGAGTTTGTGCCATGTAATTTGTCATTCACTAATGCTATATAACAATAGATTCAACTTGCATACACACACACACACACACAAATATATATATATATATATATATATTTTACAAATCTATCAAAGCAATCTATGATTTTTTTTTTATTTAACTTTCTATACAAGAAAATCTTTTACATCTAGATAATGCACACACACACATATATATATATATATATATATATATATTTATTACAATTCAGTCATACCAGTACTTTCAGTAGTAGTAAATATGAAAATAGATGCAAATATTTTACTAAAACCAACACATTCTACTTATGATTATCTTTTTGGATTGGATCCTTCTAAATCTCAAAGAACCTTATTCATTTTATCTGTTTTAAAGCAAAATATATACATGCAAAAAACAAATTACAATTTAGAGATGGATAATTTAATTTTTTGTATTCTATTGTGAATGAGTAAATCCATCCTTGTTATGTAGTTATTTTTATTTCTTTATTTATTTATACTTCTTTGGATTTGTATTTGGTTTTTTGGTTTTTTGTTTTTGTTTTTGTTTTTGTTTTTTAATAAAAAAATCAATAATCTTGATAGATTTAAAGTTTTAAAGAATAAGTGATTCCTTAAGACAAAGAATATAATCATGGCTGTTTTGGTTAAATTCAAGTAGCAGTAAATTGAATTAGATTATTTTTCTCATAATAAAAAATGTATAAAAAACATTAATGCTGGAAATTTATTTAATAAAAGACAAAAATAATTTTTATATTCTTTCCTTATGTTCTTTTTATGCAATAATTAAATGTACAATTATTTTTCTAATAGATTTTTTTTTCTTAAAGATTATAAAATAATTATTTTAAATATCTAATAAAAAATGCAAAGATACCTATATAACAATTGTTTTTATTATAAACACCTCAAATAAATAAATAGCAAATGTGTTTTTATGTTATAATATATTGTAAGAAATATTTTAATAGCTACAACTAAAATCGAGATTTGATCAATAATACATTAAAGGTCCTTAAATAATAATGGCCATGAAAATTAGACATAAAATATCTTGGATTGATATAATGTATTTTTAGCAAGTCATTAGTTTAACAATAATGAATAGAAAGATTTTTTTAATGCAGAAGACTTAAATGTAAATATAATTATTGAGTTCCTTTCTAAAGTATCTCTACGTAGTTAAACATAAATGCTTGTATAAGTTAAGTTTTAAAAGAATATATATATATATATATATATATATTTATTGATGCTTGTAAATTGAAAGGTATAGAATGAACAAGTTCTCAAGTATTCAATTATATATATATATATATATATATATATATATATCTACATACTAATTATGTTTGTTTTGTTTTGTTTTGTTTTTTTTCTAGTATTCATTTACATTAATGCAAGATTTTAACTTAATTGTAATTCACTGTTTTTAAACATATAGTTTCTAATGATTTTGCATCTCATAATCATTGTTACAAATATGTTTCAAATTGTAATAAAATTAATTATTTTTAGGGGTTCTACTTTTGAGATTGAAAATATTAAATAAATGATGCAGCATACAGCTTGCCAAAACAACAATGACATTACTGTGTTAGTTTTAAAATTAGATGAAGTGATACAAAATTGTAATAGAAATTTTTGAGTTTTAATGTAACCACCATTTGTAATTTTGGATTTTTCAAAGTAATTATTGATTCTTTATTTTTATAATTAAAAAACGAATAAAAAGAGTAAGAAGAAAGCACAAGTATTTAATTTTGAATTGTAAAATATTTTAAATGTCATACAATTTAGTAGGATTTCGTGGAAGATTTGTTTTGTTTTTGTTTTGTTTTGTATGATTTTTTTTTTTTTTTTTTTTTTTTTTTTTGAGTTAACTATAAATTTGATAATGAATGCAGATAAGTTTGGAAATGAGACTCAAACTAAAATGTTCAGATTTGACGTCGAGCTTGTCATAAAAGCAGACATTTTTACTTTGCGTAGTAGGAAACCCATCTACACAAAAACCCTAACAACAACCAAAGTGTTTAATGAAAAGAGGCAACAGTCATTAGCAACATAGTTAATATATTATAATTCTAACAATGCATTTTTTTCACCGTCTTTTTTTGGATCATTCTATGAGCACACATGCAACATTATCAAACAATGAGTTTCTTAAAATGTTACCATGTGAACATAGATCAACTGTGACAATAAGAGCACGCTTCAAAGGAGGTACATGACAGCGTCTGAGAGATTCTCAACAACTGCCGTCAGCCATTCCGTAGAACATGCGGATAATAGATAAAGTTTAACGAAATTAGGAAAATTCAGAGCCATACAATCTACTCGAAATACTACACTGAGTTACAGTTGATGCCACAATCATTAAGAATATGAATACCAGGAACAGGCAAATGGCAGTACCAAAGCTGCAATTTCGGTGCCACTCGTATTGATGAAAGTGAAGTTGTCAATTCGAAACGTGGTAACTGCAGAGGATCAAGCCACAATTACAATGGCATGGTGGCTGCGTCCGTACTTTCAGAATCTGTAAGCTCACACATGATCATAAAGACAAAGCTACGAAATAGGCAATCGTTTCTGCAACCACTGAGCATTGCAAACCTAATCAACCATTCTTCAAGATACCCACAGGAAAATACTATCAGACTGAATGAGATTGACTTGTGCAGTGAGAGAAAATATCAACATGAACAGAAAGGGGAAAGAATGGGGAAAAATACTAATGTTTTGCATTTCATCACTACGCTACGAAAATTGTAAATATTGTACAACTCGGCTATGGTTATGACTATTCCTATTATCTACGTCTTAAGTAAAAGACACCTCAACGATACACGAAAAGGGTGCGATCCCGAGGAAGTGCTCGTCGCCAAGCATCATTCCCTAGCGGCCATTACACTTCCAAAATCCATCTTGTTAGGAAATTTATAACCAGAGATTCTGCTGCTCCAGTAATACTGGTACAGTTGCCAAACCCAGTCGCCCAGCCAGCACGAGAAGTCGTTGAGGAATCCTCAGGTACAATGTCCACCGCTCTCAGAAAAAAGAAATCCTCTGAAGAGCTAGAGACCGCTTAGCATCAAAGAGCCTTTGCGCCGTGGAGGTGATGCAGCTTGGACTCTTCAACATCAGAACCTGGAGTCCACATATTTACTAACTGTATCCGTTCGTAAAATTTGAGATCGCATACTAATTGCCTTTAGGGAGGGTGGAGAAGCGAAACAGGTAGAAAGGGAAATTTACTGTTGAAAGCGCTTGAACAGCCTCCGGCCATGAAGCCCAAGTTTAATGAGGTCCCCATTATGGGAAACTCCATAGTAAACGGAAGGATATGTACAAACTCCCCAAGTCGGTGTACTCTCAATTCTCACAACCGTAGGAGCCCCACACTGCATGTTGAATATTGTAGGTGTAATTACAGCACCATGTTACGTCGTACCACCAAAAACCCATCCGTCTCCTCAAGCGCCCAAAAGTTTCCTCACGCCAGCCTTCTGCTCACTGCTCAGTCTATTTGGAAAAGTGATGTCGAACTTGATTCGCAAATTTCCTTTCCTTCCCGGTTCCTTAGCTACCGGCATTCCCTCCTTTGACAGCACCTTCTCATAACCAGGATGGATAACGTCAGAAACGCTCACATTCAGCGCTCTGCCATCTAGAGTAGAGATGGAGAAACTGCATCCTGTCAGGGCCTCCACAAGTGATACCTTCTTGGTCATTGTTAGGTCATTGCCATCGCGTTTAAAAGTATCGTGAGGCTTCTCATCAATTACAAACACCAAGTCTGCAGGAGTCACTCCCAATTTCTCGTTACCCTTCTCGGGAAAAGTGATCTTGGTTCCTTTTTTCCAACCAGGCTTGATATCTATAGTCAAAATCTCCTCTATAGGCATGGTCTTGCCACTGGCATCGGCAATCATCCTGGAGATCTTCATCTTTCGGGTGGATCCCTTGTAAATCTCTTCTAAACTACAGAGAAGCTTGTTCTCCACAGCGGGGGCTTTTCGTGCCTGGGAGGTAGTGTCACCGAAAGACCGGAAGCCCTGTGCTCCATCTGTCGTCCGGAACATAGTCTCTGGACCACCAAAACCACCAAACATGCCATCTCCAAACGGACCTCCTCTGCCCGTTCTACCACCACCCATACCTCCCATGCTGCCCATCCCTCCAAACGGGCTAGCATTACCAAAAAATTCCGCGAATATATCCTCAGCATTTCTTGGATTGAACCTAAACGAATGAGCCGTCCCTCCGTTGCCAAACCCATACGAAGCACCACCAGGAGGCGGCATGCCGCCTTTCAGCCCCTCCTCTCCCGCTTGGTCATAAATTTGCCGCTTCTGCGGATCGCTCAACACTTCATACGCTTCCGAGATCTGCTTAAACTTCGCCTCCGCCTCCTTCTTATTGTTCGGATTCTTATCCGGATGCCATTTCATCGCCAACTTCCGGTACGCTTTCTTCAAATCATCCTCTGTCGCCGTCTTCGGCACCTTCAACACGCTATAGTAATCAACTCCCATCTCGTCACCACCACCACCACCTCTCACCTCTTCTCTCTTCCTCTTCCTCCCACTCCCTCCTCTCCCCTTCGTCGAGTACGCCACCCTCACCAACCTCAAAAACCTCACAATTCACTCACAACACCGCGATCAATTCTCACAACCACCTCAACTAATAATCCTTCACCTTCTCACGTAACAACAAACGCTTGATAACATCAAACCCGCGCACTACTCACTCAAACTACCACAAACTCCGTCGCCGAAGGGAATTGAATACATATACTGAAGCAAGCGAAGCGAGCGAGAGAGAGAGAGAAAGCGAGAGATTCGAGAGACGTCGAGAATTGGAATACGCAACCAACGCCTTCTTCTTAGAATTCACAATTAGACGCCTCTAGAACCTTCACGTCTGTTCCTTTCGCTTCCGTACCCTGTGTTCCCTTCGTTCTCATTGTTCTCATCGCCAGTGGAGCTCCTCCACCCTTTTGTTCGAGGACTACGTTCCCCACGCGTTCACATCACTTCGCGTTCCAGGTCCTTCTTGTCCGAGTGTGCCAAGTGTAGGACGGCAGTCAACTTACAGTTCTCATCAGTGAACTCGACACCGCTCTGGTAATTAACTACATTACAAAAGGGGGGTCGCATGCGGGAACCGGGTCTCGGGGGGGGGGGGGGGGGGGGGGGGGGGGGGTCGTATCGGAAGCTGACCCGGCGTGGGGGGTCGCTCTGGATTGTGCCGAGATGTCCAAGTGGCGGGAATTTGGGATCCACGAGGCGCCACGTAAATCGTGACGTGTCAATGTTGGGGATTTGGATGAGGATGTGAAGGGTGCTTGTATGTGATATGGATGCAAGTCATCCATTTGACGGGTCAAATGGTTCCTGGGTCGCCAAGTGTGGGGCTAAGTAGTCGATGGCCAATTCGTAACAATATTAGTTCTCGTTTACAGTAAGTTGTGTGGTGATTGGGAACGTGTATGGGAACATGGGAACATGGGAACGTGGGATACTTGTCCATGGCCGGCTCTGGTAAGTTATGCTATTGAAAATTGTTTTTAGGGCTAATTAAAAATAAATGAAAGGGTGTAAGTGGTCGACTGGCGTTTTTCCAGGTGTCGTACATTAGGTGGCTGAATTCCTTTGTGGGATTAGAGTTCTCAGGCTCGAGTGTGTAGTGGGAACAAGGTGCTAAATTTCTCCCTTGTCTGGGGGGGACAAGGTGCCCACGTATTTATATGTAAGATGATTCGTAATTTAAATAATAATAATAATAATTTTGAAGGATGTTACGTTTTTAATAAAATAATATTATTTTGGTATAGAGATATATGATTTTATCTTACGATTTCTAGGAGGTAATTCTTTTACAATAAAATATTTCAAAAAAAAAAACTGTAGAAATTATTACATTGGATGTGCATTTGTTTACAAGTAACTTTTGAGCAATTCAATCTAATTTTTATTATCCTATTTATAAAAAAAAAAAACTAAACATACTGATAACATGGATTGTTAGAAATAGGGTTGTTGAGAAAAATACGTTTTAAAAGGAATATAATTAACTCTATTTTAGAATCGTTGAGTAAGACTTGTTGCCAAATTAAAAATTATGAAGTAGTGTGATATGGAGACAAAAACACATTATGAATATATTTTAATGAACCGATCAATTCATCAAATATGATAGGTAGGTAATCTATACCTCATTGATTGAGAATATATATATATATATATATATACATACATATATGTTAGACTTATGGGGTTTGTAAAAGTAATAGAGTAGTAGCTAGATATAAGTACATCATTGATTGGAAATCTTATCATATGTTGATTAGATTCAGCCATGATTATTGTAAGTTTGAAATAACATGTTTGTAGGTTTGATAAAGCCACTTTGATGTATAACATCAGATTATAAGTAAAAGATGTTGCTTGGCAGATTTTATCTCATTTTTTATGTATATATCTTGATGTGATTTTGTTCAAAAAAAAAAATTAAAAATACAAAATCTTGGATACTTTCTTTGAAATATCAGGAAAAAAGAAATTACACTCTATATATATATATATATATATATGAAAACAAATAGAGGGAAAAAAAAAGTGTGTGTATATACTTATATACAAGAAAAAAGAGTGATGATATACATTTTTAGATAATCTCTAAAATGTCACTTTATTGCAATTGAAGAGATATTTCATTCAGCCACAATATGAATAAAGTAGGTTCAAGTTATTGTATGATTGAGTGTCAAACCAATGCAAAAAGTAAAAACTTGTTCAAATAGGGTAAGTTTGGTGATATAAGCACAAAAATATTGTATTTGTAATCCTTTTAACATATTTGTATGTAGTTTATTTTTTATATTTCTAACATTTTAAACACATAGATTAAAGTTATAACACAAAATCAAAAGAATCCTTTGAATGTGTAAATTTAAATATATTTATTCAAGTACCAATGAAATTTTAATTTTTCATTCAGCTAATCATACAAATTATATTAAAATTAACCTAATAATTTATTTTTTTAGAAATTTTTATAAAACAATTTCTTATAAAACTTAATAAAATTGTGATTCAAAAAAGTTTAAAAATTAAATTACAAATATTTTTATTTGATTGGATACCTAAATATTAACTTAAAAAATAAAAATCAAATATTTATATTTTTATATATATTTACAATTAAATAATATTTTTGTAATTTTTTACTAATAATAATAATATTTATTAATTATTATAAATATTTATATAATTAATTTTATCTTTACTTCTTAAAAACATAATTTAATACTTATATTCTTCTACTAACTTGTTTATACTTCAATTTATACAACTGAAAAAAAATATAAATTTATCATATTATATTTGAAAATTATATATATATTTAAGTCTACATTGCTAGTTGTATATCTATCAAATTTTCATCAATTTTTAAAGGAGGTAAATTTTATTCTTTTCAATTTTATTTCGTTTTTTTAACAAAAATTTTATTTTATTTTTACATGTAGAAAAATTAATATATTACTTATTGTAAGAGGAAGATGTTTTATTGAATTGTTTTGCAAATACCTCTATGTTTTTTTATGATGGATTCAAAGTACTATCAATTTTAAAAAATAGTCATTTTTTACAAAAAATATCAATTATTTTTTTAACAAATTTTTACACTTATTTTATTATTTTATTATATAAATAAATTTTATTAGTACTATATTTAAAAATCAAATAATAATTTTATAAAAGATTGTTTGAAGTTTTATAGTATTGCATAAATGCACCAACAATATTTAAAATATTTCAATTATTAATTTTATTTCTAAAGTTTTTTTCAAAAAAATCAATATAAAATCATAGAATTATTTTACTTTTAAATCATCCTATTACTCTAAGTCTTTTAATACAATCATTTTGTATATAATATATATATATATATATATATATATATATAATATTATATTTATTACATATTATATATATATATATATATATATATAATTATTTTAAATCATTATATTTTTGAATATTTTTACTTATTATGCATATGCAATATAAAATAGAATAACCTTTCTAGAGGACTTTATATTGAAGTTATAAACATTTGTTATCACAATAAAAGTAGCAATGTTCCAAAATAATGTCCACTTCATACTTTTATCGAACATCAATTATAATTGGTAGTAGTAGTAGTTAGTATTGATCCAAAAAGTATCTTAATTTATTATAAAATTTCTTGAATTATAAATTATAGAAGATCAGATGGACTCAAATTTGTGGCAAAAGCTCGACATAATATGCAATATTAGAAATCAATACAAAAATACAAAAAAGTCTAAACCACTAATGTGTCAACTTATGGACTTGGGTTGATGTAACAAGTAGAAAATTGGCATTGGAGAGTATTACATAATTATCCTTCAAAAAAATCTAATATTGCAAATAGTTATCCACATATTGCTTCTATGGATTTCATTTGGTAAAGAAGCAATGTCTTGCCTCTTGCAAGGCTATTGTAAGTTGTTATATAAATTCCTCCATTATCAAGTTATTGGTGTCGATGAAATAATAGTGATTTATGGGCATAATCAAATGTTAATTGATGTTAAAGGAAGAATGATGAATAACTCATACTTGCTTGAATACTATTATTGTAAGCAAACTCCAAGAACGTCAAATATTCATTACATTGATTATAGTGAATTGTAAAATAATGTTGTAGCATATCTTCTAAGGTCAAATTTGCACGCTCTATTTGTCTATCTATATGAAGATGGAAGGCTATTGATATGACAAGTTGTATGTCCAATAGCTTGAAAAAAGCCTGCTAAAAATTCTTTGTGAAGTACAAATTTTGATTTGAAATGATGACACAAGATAATCCATCATAACAAAAGATAGTGTTAAAGAAGATCCATGCAAGTATTGGGGCATTAATATTAGAGTGTACCATAGCCAAATATAATTGTTTCAAGAATTGATTCATAAAGACAACAACCATGATATGATTGTAGTGTGTCTACAATAAATACATAACGAGATCCATAATCACCTACTTTCATTGTACTATAGATAATAGAATTGGTTGCAATAGCTGAAGAGATGCCATATTGCATGCTTTGTTATATTAACATGATTTGCAAGAACACATGAAAGCTTGAACATCACAATCTAAATCTACTCAAAATCATATCCTTGAAATTTATTCTAAAATATTTTCATGCCTTAGATGACTAAATATTGGAATATTTTTATCTTTCTTGAAGTATAGTTCTATGTGGAAGGAGGCATCTTGATCAGGTGGCACACCATTAGATAAGTTTATTAGAAAAAAATCTTTATATTTATGTATGAATTCCTTTGCCCATTCTACTCCTTTGATTATATTTTCCACTACTAAAGTAAGATTTGGAACCACCACAAATATCAATTGTTAATGCTATATTTGCTTCTTTACAAAGCTTGTTCCTACAAGTAAGCCTTTAATCACATATTATTTTGCTATCTCACTCAAACAATCTGTGGTACAAAGAATCACTTTGCATCTACCATCTTTAAAGAAGATTATCCTTGCTAGCTAATCAACTTGTTGATTTTTCACCTTTCAACTTTGTTACCTTGAATTTTTTTTTTAAGGCACAGGTATCACTTAACTTCAAGGTTTCTTCTTCACATGTCTTACTAAATATGCTCTTTTGATCATCTATTAGATATATATTTATTTTTTAATTACCTTGATTTTAATCTCAAATCAGTTAATTATTAAGATATAATATTTTATAAAGTTTCAAACCACAAGCATTTGATATGGTTGTCCTCTTAGATGACTTGTTAAACACACTAGTCAACATTTTTGATAGTTGT